AAAAAAAAAAAGCCTGAGGAACTGTCCCAAAACAAAAGAGTCCTTTTGTGGCACTGGACTGTTAACCATAAGGTTGGGTAGTTCAAACCCACCAGCTGCTCCTTGGAAACCCTATATGGTGTCACTGTGAGTCAGAGTCAACTCAATGGCACTTAACAACAACAACAATAACAAAGAGTAAGGACAACTAAATATAACAAGTTATTCTAGATTTGATGCCAGATCATCAAAATGTTTTTGTTTTTGCTATAAAGAACTTTAGTGGAACAAATGGTAAAACTGAATATATGCAGATTAAATAGTATGGCATCTATATTACTTTTCTGATTTTGATCACAATATGCAAGCTATGAAAGAGAATTGCTTTTTTTTTTTTTAATAAACCTACCCTGAAGTATTTAGGGGTCAAGGAACAATACGTCTACAACTTAAACGCAACTGACTGAGGAAAGAATAATATATTGGGAAGAGAAAGAAATATACCTATAAAGCAAACATCATATAAAAGTAAAAATTTGGTGAAGGGTATCTAAGAATCCCTAGTACTACGTTTGTAACATTTCTATAAGTCTCAAATTATTTCAAAATAAAATGTTAAAACACAAAATGGGTAGGAGGGGAGAACAGAAAATAATCACATAAAAAGATGCTCATCCTGGCAATTGCTGTTAAGTGCTATCACATCAATTTTGCTTCACAGTGACCCCATGTGACAGAGTGGAACTGCACAAGAGGGTTTTCTAAGCTCTAGTGTTCACGGGAGCAGATCACAAGGCCTTTTCTGCCACAGAGCAGCTGTGGGTTCAAACCACCAACCTTTTGGTTAGCAGCAGAGCATTCAACCATTGTGCCACCAGGGCTCCTTTACTGGCAATTGTTGTTGTTGTTGTTGTTAAGTACCATGGAGTCATAATTTCTACAATTTAAGCACTACCTGGTTTTTAGGATGGCATTGAGATAAAAAAAAATGATGGTAACCACCATCAACAGACTTTACAACTTTAAACCTTTAAAGATATTCCCAGAACTTACGACCCAAAAGGGGAAAGCAAAAGGGAAACTTAAAAATACCTTTTCAGTCTCAGAATCAAAGAGAAGCATATAAGGGAGTTTCAAAAAGTTTGTGGAAAAATTCAATTTTCTTTTAATTCCATTTTTCACAAACTTTTTGAAGACCCTTTGTACCAACATAACAATAGCTCAGAGGAAAGTTAAGCTGTTTTTTTTGTTTTGAGGGCAAAAAATGTTTTTTAATTGTATCTGTACCAAAAATAGCATATCTCACCTAAAAACAGCGGTGTGGTTTTCTCTGAAGTAGTTGCATTAGGATCTGCCCCAGCTTCTAAAAGAATCTGTATGATCTTCCAGTGTCCTTGACTTGCTGCAAGATGTAACGCACAGAGGCCTTCAAAAGTCTTTGTCTTAATGTAGTTTTCAGACGAATCTACGGAAACATAAAAAAAACATCAACTAGGAGTTCTGGTAGCATAGTGGTTACGAGTTAGGCTGCTAACCTCAAGGTCAGCAGTTCAAAACTACCAGCCGTTTCACGAGAGAAAGATGAGTCTTTCTGCTCCTGTTAAGATTTACAGCTCGGAAACCCTATGCAGAGTCGCTATGAGCCAGAACCAACTCAACGGCACATCACTACCACCACCAGAAGATTACCATTTCTATTACTTGTGTCTAAATGGCAAAAATTCAAAGAGGAATTTTCTTAAAGTATAAGTAATTTATACATGTGATGTCTTCCATACATGAGGGGGCTTCAAAAGGTTCATGGAAAAAATGGAATTAAAGGATAATGGAACTGTTGCATAAACTTTTTGAAATGGGTGTTTAAAACTCTCTAGAAAACCAAGAAAAAGTTTTACAGGGATCATGGTGTGAACAGCTATTTGATATTTTTTAAACAATTCTGCCCACTTACTTTCTCTTCTCTCCAATTTTTCAGCTGTTGTTTAGTTGGTTGGTTAGTTGGCTTATAGACAGTAAAAACCCACTGTCATCAAGTTGATGCGACTCATAGTGACCCTTCAGGACACAATAGAACTGCTTCAAAGGGTTTCCAAGAGCGTGAAAGAAGAAGGCTAAAATCAACCACATGGAAGTGGATTAAAGTGCAGGCACCATAGAAACAGATATACAGGCACAGAAACATTTATAGCTACAATAATCAGTGACTATAACAATGGGCTCAAACATAGCAATGCATGTAAAAATGACAGAGGATGGGCAATGTTTCATTCTGTTATACATAAGTTCCCTATCAGTCAGAGTCAACTCCAGAGCTCCTGACAAAAAACAGTAACATGTATATACACACGATCCCCTGGGTAGTGAAAGTGCTTATGCGTTTGGCTGCTACCAGAAAGATTGGAGGTCCAAATCCATCTATTGGTACCTTGGAAGAAAGCTCTACGGAGTAGAGTACAGTTCTATTCTGACATACATGGGGCTGCATTCTCCAATCAAAAACAAAAACCAGGGATCTTTGAATAATTGTTGATTCTAGAGTTGGGCAAGGAATATTAAAAAATTAACCTGTAGGGACAGAAAGTAAAGTGTTCCAAAAAACAAAACAAAACAATAGTGGCAAGTCAAACGGACACTAAAGTTAGAACAATTAGAGCAACTAAACAAATAATGCAGTACTGAATCATAACCCAAAGGATAAAACAAATATCCATGAATTGATGCAGATGTAAATGAATGAATACATAAATGAAAGTGACAAAAACAAATCTCCCAAAGAGAAGATAAACCCAGTTGTCATCCAGTCAGTTCTGACTCATGGTAACATCATGTATGTCAGAGAGCTGTGCTACATAAGGTTTTCAATGACTGATTCTTTTTTGGAAGTAGATTTATTGTTGTTAAATGCTGTCGAGTTGGTTCCAACTCATAGCAACCTTGCATAGAATTTCTGGGAAGCCGCTGGTGGGTTTGAACTGCCAACCTTGTGGTTCACAGTCCAATGCTGATTCTACAGCACCACACCAGGAGTCATCCAGGCCTTTTTCAACCTGGATGAGTGGCTCAAAGCTGCAATATTTTGGTTAACAGTGGAGTATGCTAACCATTCTGCACCCCACTGGGGACTCCTACACACAAAAGAATTCCAAGCAATTTATGGAGATACTCCCCTGCTCATGAAGGTAGAGCTTAATTCCCACATAATAAGTGCAGAAAACAAAGCAGAAAAAAGATATTAGGGAAAAAATAGAGAAAAATGAATAAGATGCCAACTTGATGGCATACCAACATCAACACCACCATCATAGAGTTTTGTACTCGCAATGGAAATTGACAGAGTATTAGCTGTGCTGCTGTTCTTAAATGGCATCGAGTAGGTTCCAACCCAGTGACACTGTATAAGGTTTCCAAGGAGCGGCTGGTGCATTTGAAACACTGACGTTGTGGTTTGCAGTCCACTACTTAACCTATAGCACCAAACCAATAGCTGTACTCCATTTCAAAACACTCCCAGAACAAAATGATAATTCATTGTCATTTAATGAGTACCTCTGCACTCCATGTTTTAACTTTAGTTCAAATAATTCCAACATAGGTATTTAAGCTATGTAAATTAACTACTTAATTGACTGAATGAGATTTTCACATTATTTTCCCAAGTACCATCTGTTCAATTAGTAATGCTAATATCCTATCTTTAATTTTCAAGGGATTTAATGCCTCTAGAGTCATGGACTTAAATAACATGCAGTGAGCACTATAATTCAACTTTTTAAAGGAGTTAAATGAAATTTAGAAGTTTAAAACCTCAGAAATAATGAATTACAAGACTATTCTCTCAAGTTTTAAAGAAGTGGTAAGATTTCAAAGTTATATAAGGACTACCATGCAAAAGTGGAGTCCTGATGTGACGCTGTGGGTTAATGCACCAGACTGCAAAACCATTTGAACTGCAAAGTTGGCAGTTCAAGCTCACCAGCTGCTCCTTGGAATCCCTATACAGGGTTGCTATGGGTCGGAACTGACTCAACAGCACTTCACAACAACAACCATGCAAAAAGCAGTGCTGGTAGCATAGTGGATTATGAGCTGGGCTGTTAATCACAAGGTCAGTAGTTTGAAACTACCAGGCACTTTGCTGTAAAAAGATGAGGCTTTCTGCTCCCCAAAAGATTTATAGTCTTGGAAACTTCATACAGGGTCACTATGAGTCGAAACCACCACCACCTTGCAGAAAGTAGTTTTAAGTTTTATAAGGACAAGGAGAAAGAAGAGAGAAGAGACAGATTACTAGGGAATGTTTATTGTTATTAAGTGCCAGTTCTGACTCAATGCGACACTGTACAGGGTTTCCAAGGAGCAGCTGGTGGGCTTGAACCTCCAACATTGTGGTCAGAAATCAAGTAATTACCCTAACAACGGAATATTGTTAGATACAGTGCCAGAAGGTAGAAGCATTATGAACAGTACTAGAATATTGTCAGATATAATGCCAGAAGACGAGCCTCTCAGTTTGGAAAGCACTAAAAATACAACTAGGGAAAATCTGCCTCCTCAAAGTAGAGTTCACAATGATACAAGTGGAATAAAGCTTCCGGAACTTTCATTTGATGATGGGGCACAAACCTCAAAAGGAGTAACAGCTGCAAATATCCATTAATTATCAGAAAATGGAATGTAGGAAGCATGAATCTAGGAAAATTCAAGTTGTAAAAAATGAAATGGAATGCATAAAGATCTATATCTTATGAATTAGTGAGCTGAAATGCACTAGTATTGGTCATTCTTAATCAGACAATCATATGGTTTACCATCCTGGGAATGACAAATTCAAGAGGAATGGCATAGCATTCATCGTCAAAAAGAACATTTCAACATCAGTCTTGAAGCACAATGTTGTCTGTGATAGGATAACACCCATATTCCTTCAAGCAAAACCAGTTAATACATTATTCAAATTTACTCACCAATCACTAACATCAGCCATGAAAAAACTTTAAGGATTCTACCAACTACTTCAGTCTGACATAGATCAAATATGTAATAAAGATATATCGATAATTACTGGTGAATGGAATAGGAAGACTGGAAACAAAGAAGAAGGATTGGTATTTGGAAAAGATAACCTTAGTGACAGAAATGATGCTGGATATCACATGATAGAATTCTGTAAAACCAATGACTTAATTAGTGTAAATATTTTTTTAAAAACATAAAAGACAACTAACTATATACATGGATCTCACCAGTTTGGATACACAAGAATCAAACTGATGGCTACTACAAGAACAAGCGCTCAAGTCCCTTCAGGACACACCCCCTCCTGAGACCAAAACTTAAAGGGAATACACGAGCAGGCATGTAAGCTTGCTGATGATCACATGGGTCTACTTGTTGCAGACCGTGTAGGCCTAGTGAGAGGTTCAAGGCTCTATAGGCCCGAGTGTAACAGATCTAGCCACTTGGCAGTTAATGGCAAATTGGTTTTCAACTTAGTGTTCAGTTATATTTATTTAATTCCAAACATGAGCCCTTAATGTCCACAGATAAATGTGATATTTTCCTAAAAGCCCAGACTGTAAAGGTTGCAAGGTCAAGCCTTTCTCCAAAAGATTAACTAAAAATATCTTAGCTACTTCACAGTTCTTTGTTCTACAGACAAAAAAGCCATCTTCCCTGAACCTCTCCCAGGTGCTGGTTATTCAGTCAAGTTCCTGCAAACCTGGCTCAGGAAGCTAAAACAGCAGGACTCCGCCCAAACCTTTTGTCCTTCCCTTTCACCTTGCCCCAACTGAGCTCAGGAGCTATAGATGTTAATTGAGCCTGAGAAACAAAGTTGTGGGCCTGGGATTCGAACCAGGAAAGTACCTGAGTGTCTAGAAAATTACTGATGCTAGCTGTATCCTGTTTTAGTCCCTCCCAGCTTGGTGTGAAGCTCCTCCCCTAAATAAAACTGAGACGCAGGCCATCCCAGGTGTGCATTACAAGTTGGAGGGCATGCAGTAAAGATTGCAGGGCAGTGAGTTGCTGCCTGCAGAGGCTACAATGCCTGTAGTCCCAAGTCTGCCCACCAGTGATGCATCCACCCTGGTTTCGGGATGCCTCCTTGTCTCCCTCCTTCTGTCTGTCTGCGTATTCTTTTGCTATCTCTTTCACCATTAGATTTCCCCTCCTCATGAACCATACACTCGTGAACAACACAACTATGTCGAGGTCAGTCCCCGGCATCTACTGGTGAGAGGAAGTGGGGGGAAGCAACAATGAAGAGGTGGGCTGAGTCCGACCAAGTTACATAGACCCCCATTGACCTGGAGTATGGTGAGAGCTGGTTGGCCTGAAGTATGGTGAGATCTGGGGACTCCTGAGCCCATGGACAAGGATGTGTCCATGGAGGGCTACAGCTGAGAGTGAAACGTCCAGTTGATATGAAGTGAAAGGATATGCACAAGGGCACCCAAACTGGCAGAT